GAGACTTACGAGTTTGAGTCCATCAATAAGCGTGTTTTTCCAGAGTGTGTCCGGACTGGAGTCGTGTTCGTATTCCTTGGCCATGAGGCTTGTGTATTCAGCGCCGATGACTCCCATGACGAGTTGGCTCATGGGATGAGACTGACAACTGGTGGTGTTGATGGCGCGGACGACTTTCTCGAGTGTGGTGTGTGCATCGACACGGGCGCAGAGGGTGGGGTGTGCTGCTACAGGGTCGGGGTTAATAGCTGCTGTCGCTTGGTTGGAAGTAACGGTGAGGTTTTTGGTCTTGCTCACCTGGACGGGTCGGAAGGCTTGGAGCATGAGTTCGTGGTCTTCGGATGAGGGCACATCGCCAGTAAGTAAGAGGTGAAAAAGTGCCTCAGCGCTGGGATAGCGTGCACCGGGCAGTTTTGGGAGTCTCGTAATCACTTCCTCCAACTCCAAATCACGGTACTCAATTCCCCCGCCCGGATCAACGACTGATGTTTCCCAAATCAACGACGGCACACCACGCATGCCGCCCACCACATCACCCGCAGAAACCGACTTGATGCACACATTCTTCAACTGCTTGAACTGCTGCACCAACTGCGCTCGCTCCGCCAACCGCGCACGCGTCTTGTTCGCCACATGTCGCACAAATTGCGCTACGAAAATATCACACGTCTCGTTACGCTACTTACACTCCTCGTTTGTCTCAGACTCAATTCGCGCAGGAGACCAGAACCAACGAACCTGCGGCATGCTCCTGCACCAACGTGCTCTCAATGCCATTTCACTCCACGAAATTAACCCCTCCCCATGCTTAGACACGCCCATGGTTAAATACCCTTCCTTGGGGCTAGCTAAATCACCATCTAAATCACAAGTAAGTCGCGGAATCCCGGAAAATTGTCGACGAGGACGCTGAAGCCTTCGGTAACGGCGCAAACCTGCACGTGCTGCAGCCAATGGTCACCCCATTCGCGGCTGCTTTGCACCAAGCGGCATAGCGTCTCGGCGCAGTTGCGGCTAGCATTACCCCGGCGGCAGTAGAAATGGATGTCCGGCCCGGCCTGGCCCGAGGCGGTCAGGTCCGAGCCGCTCTGCGCCGAGCCGCTCTGCGCCGAGCCGGACCCAGACTCCGGTTCGAAGGCAAAGAGGGCAGCAACGGGGTCTAGGGAGGCGGCGTCTAGGGCTTCGAGCGCTTTGGCTTGGAGTAGCGCGGCGGGAATGAGGCGGGCATTGGGCATGCTGCCGACTTGGGACATGGTGATTGGTCGGGCGTCCACGTATATTACGGCCTTGCCGTTTTTGCCCAAGTCGAACGACTGCTGCCAGGTGATCGTCTCGAGCCAGGGCAGCGACACCGCGCTGCTGGATCCGGCGCCGCAGCTGGTTATGTAATCCGCGGGAACAAAGGCTTCAATGGCAGGCTCTGCGGTTCGTGGCTTGAGTCGCACACACTGAAACGGCGCCTTGGACGTCGCCAGGTCATACAGCATGAAATTCCACTCCGGCAGCGGGTGGCCCATGAGCACTTTAAGAGCCGATGCGGCCATGAGGTGGCCAATGATTTGCGGCACGGGCCCGAAGATGCCGGCGGTGGCGCAGTCCTGCCGTCCCGGCTGGAGACACCGTTGCAGCCAGCTTCTGAACGCCGGTGTCGGGTCAACTGACAAAGGACTTCCCCCTGAGGAGGGATTTCCCCCTGAGGACGGATTTCCCCCTGAGGACGGATTTCCCCCGTGAAGGTCCTGGTTCACCGCAGATGAGGGGTGCTGCGCCCTCCGAGGGGGATACTGGCTGCCAAGCAGCGTGCGATAGGTGTGGGTTGTCTCCAGGCCGTAGAGGAGGATATGTCCCTGCATCTTGAGGGCAGAGCCGGAGATTACCGGTAGCAGTCTGTGGCGATTTCTGGCGGTGATTTCAGCGGCATCGGAGATGAGGCGGCGCGCAGGGAGTGAGTCGGTGCAGTCTAAGATGAGGTCGGCGTTTTCAAAGAGACGTAGGGCGTTGTTAGGGGTGAGGAACTCGGATTCCGTCTGGACCTGACAACCTGGGTTCAAGGCGCGGACATAGGCTTCGGCAGCGACAGCCTTATACTGTCCTTGGTCACAAGTGCGGTAGATCGTCTGACGGTGCAGATTAGTCGGGTCAATCACGTCCCCGTCGACCAGCGTTAAACACCCTACTCCCGCTCCAGCCATTGACGGCAACGCACCGGCACAGAGACCGCCACAACCAACCATCACGACAGAAGAACGAAGCAACGCGGCCTGGCCCGCAGGTCCTATATCCGCTACCAATAGCTGACGTTGGTAGCGCACCACCTCCGCCTGACTCATCACCGACCGAGCGCTAGTGGCCGCAATTTCTGTCCCAGCCTCCGTTTCCATGCCAGCCGCAGTTTCGTGCATTTTATCACGGTATTTTGACGCTGCTGGCTCGTCTATTTTAAGGGGATCAATTAAGGGGATTCATTGCCAGCCGTATGGGTCTAGAGTGTGTATTAAGAGGGGTACGAGGTTAAGGTGTACGAGGATAAGCAAACGTATTAAATAGTTACTAACTAAAACAGTTCTGGAAATCACTGGTAAAACTGTCTGTATAAGGAGACGTCGACGTCCCACTCTGTGTCTTGATAGCCTCCGCGTTCTACGCTGCTAAAAGAAGGAAGGTGTGGCTTGTGTGTTTGACGTAGCGTGTGATTGTATGTGCGGGTCGTCTTGTGTGTACTCCAGGTCGGTCGTGAATGAAGGCTCTGCGGCCGAGATGATAGCTTGCACCGGGGCGGACTCGATAACGCTGCGGAATCGGAGTGCGATGCGGGCCTGGCCAGAGAGCGCCGTGTCGTCGGCCATGGCATCCTCAGCGCTGACTATGCCGCCGATGCATCGACTCAGAAAGATGGGCTTGGTGAAATAGTCACTTTCATGCATCGGACTGATGGTCGTCTGAAGCACGGTCCTCGAGTTGATGCCGAACGCTTGTGAAGATAACGGCAAGTTAGACTTCGGATTGAACGAAGCTGTCCGCGCCACCGGACGTAGGTCCCAGACCTCCCCGCCGAGAACCTCAGCGGAGACCTTCTCGGCCGAGGTGGCGCGAAGTACGTCTCCGTGGGCCGCTATAGGGTCGTCGCGACGAGTGTGAGTATCACTGGCAACATTGTAAACCGGATAATCAGATAGGCGGTCATCATCTTCCTCTGGATGGTATGGTGCACCGGGATGCGTGGTTGCCATCCGACGCATCAACGCGTCCAGGAGTACCGACATCGCCGGCTTGATCGCTTCAGGCACCGCCTGCCACATCGCCTCCGTAAACAGGAAACGCGTGTCTGGACTCACGGCCTTCGCCACAATCGAGACCGAGTCGCCCGCACCCAACGTATCCAGCTTCACCTGTGGCAACATCAACGCAAACGACGGGCTCCGGATCCCAAAGGCCATCGTCGCCATCAACTCCAACTGCGGCCCGTCCTCCTCGTCACGCGCCTTAGAACTCGAACTCAAGGCCGCCGCCTCCGTCAATGACCGTCCATTGTCCTCAATCGTAACAACCTCGGTTGTAACGACCACGGTCGTCCCCGGGGACGGACTGCTTGGCAACACACTACTAGGCTCCAGGGTGGTCAACTTTGCCAGGATGGATGTTTCTGGGTTGGTCGTAGTTTCGGGAGTGCTGGTCGTTTGGGCGTTTCCGGGTGAGGTCCATTCGCCGCTTCTTCCAACGCCTCGGGCCCAGACGCGGACGGGGTATTCAGCGTCGCCGTGAGCCCAACGGTTGTCGTCGAGAGTTAGTGTCGCCTTCACCTGGACCACCTTTTCCATCTGTTGTATGGGGAGCAGATAAATCTTGGCGAGCGTGTGAAAGACCTCGCTTAGGTAGCACATCGAGACGAAAGTGCACTGGTTGTGTCCGGCGTAGGCCTCGTCGTAGTAGTGGAAGATATTGTCTACAGTCACTCGCAGCAGCGGCATGTCGGCAACCTTCTCGCCCTCCACGAACAACTGGACCAAGGCATCGTCGCCTTCCAGCTCACCGAACCCTCCTCCGGTTCCGGTCTCAGATCCGGTCTCAGATCCAACCCCAGAACCCACTCCGGCCACATTCCAGCAGACGACTAGACTTGGGGCCACTCGCTCTTCCGTGTATGTCCAGACGCCGAGATCCACCAGTTGCGTCCGGCTCGTGTTGGTCAGTGCGAACCGTCGGTCCGCGCTCCAGATCGTTTCATTCAGTGTCGGGGAGGGAGGAATTGTGCTTTCAGCCAAGAGCCGTCGCTTACCTGCGTTGGGGATTATGCCTGTAGCTCCCTGGACGGCGTTGGGTGCCACCACGGCGTTGGGTGCCACTACGGCGTTGGGTGCCACTACGGCGTTGGGTGCCACCTCGTTAGAGGCTGGGTTGCGTGTGACCGTCTGTTCCTGTGTGTGAGAAGCACCCGCACCTCCGAGTTCTGTCTCAGCCTGCGCGAAGGCGGCTTGAAGTCGGTAGGGGTCACTAGCGCCAATGTTTTGGAGGATGGGGCTGACTTGTGCGACTGCGTTGCCGTTAACTAAAGTTCCGACAACGGGGCTGTCTAGGACGTGGCTCATGTCGACTCCCGAATTCTGCAGCATGAGGAGCATATTTCCAACGTCGATGCCGGAATCCGCCAAGTTGGCGATGAGCTGGTTCAAATCCACGCTAGAGCTGCTGAGCTTCTGCAACGCCTGGTGCAGCGTCTCCCGGTTATCCGTGACCTGCTGCATTAACGCAGCTACGTCCAGGTTCGATGTCTGGACCAACGACATCAACTTTTCCACGTCCAATCCACTTCCGATTAACTCAGCCAGTGCCGCTTCCGGAGTCAACTCTTCTGAAGCCAGACGCTGCACCAAAGAGTTCCAGTCCACGTTCGTGTTCTTCAGTAAAGCCAACAACCCGTTAAAGTCCAAACCGCTAGCCGCAATCGATTCCACCATCGGCAATAGGTCACTGCTCCTAACCGCTCCACCGTTCCCCGCTCCATCATTCACGGCGCTATTCACAGGCTGCGCTACAGCAACCGCACCGCTCGCCAAACTCACCGGCTGAACGCCCTTGTGGGCATACCCCAATTGCTGCTGCTGACCGACGCTGGGCTGGACGACGCTGGGCTGGACGACACTGGGCTGGACGACACTGGGCTGGACGTACTGCTGCCCAGGAAGTTGCTGTACGGCAGACTGCTGAACGGCAGACTGCTGAACGGCGGATTGTTGAAGTGGGTATCCAGTGAGGCCACTGCCAAGCTGATTGACTCCAGCCAGGGCACTATAACTACTCCCAGTGGCACCCGTCCCGATTGGAGCGACTGCATTGGCGACATCAGCTGATCCAAGTAGATGTCTATTAGCGTCTGGTATGGCGACGACAGGTTGAGCGTTGGCAGGTTGAGCGTTGGCAGCTCCTGCGTTGATAAGTCCACCGTTGGCAGGTTGAACGACGGGTAAGCCGGGTTGAATGACGGAAGCGAGATCAGCGGGTCGAAACTGCTGGAGTACGCGCTGTTGCAATGATTCGGTGTTGCTGACGCCAAGTGACTGCCAGTACTTTTGGACCTGGTCAGCGATGTCGTCTAGCGAGGGGAGTTTGCTGGCGACGTCGTTCTTGATCTGGTTCCCGAGAGAGGCGACACTGTCTTTCGCTGCCTCAGCGCTTTTGGAGACGTCGCTATCTCCCTGGAAAGTGTTCCAGGCGTTTTGCAGAGCGTTCGTAGCGTTAGCGATGGTCTCTGGGTAGTCGCTGTCCTTGAACTGGTTCACGAGCGAGTTGATTGCATCTGACACAGACGTCTGAGTGGCAGGGTCCTTCAGCTTTCCACCCAAGTCCTGGGTCGCATTGCCCACCTTACCGATCAGGTCCGGCTCGTCCAGTGCGTCCGCGACAGGCTGAACCAAGTCGTGCACCTGGTCCAGCGTGTCCGGGTTCGACAGAGTTTGGCCCCACGAGCTGAGCTTGTCGTTGATGTTCTGCGTCAAATTCTGCGCAGCACTCGATACCGATCCAATGATGTCCGCAGCGTCTAATCCTTCCAGCTGCTTACCGGCCACGTGATTGGTAGCCGTCTGATTGGCAGCCGCCTGGTTAATGGGTACCTCCCGTGTGCCCAAGCCCACTACCGAGGTCGCGTTGGCATTGGCATTGAAAGAGGCGCTCTGGTCTGTCTTCGTCCCCTGGTCCAACTGCGCGATCTGTGCGGCCGTAGTCGCATCTATTTGCGCCACCGCTATCTTGTAGTTGTACACGTATTGCTGAACTTGCGTGGCCAGTTGCTGCTGCAACTGCTCCGTGCTGCTACCCAGCGCCAACTGCGGGATTGCCGCGTTTTTAAGCGCCTGGATCGTCTGTCGCAATTCATACTCCAGCATCTGCTTCCGCAGGCTCGCTTGGTACTGAATCTGCTGCTTCTGGAACTCGCTCGTGTCATAGGACACTGTCGGCACCGCCGAGCCCACTGGTACCGAGATTGTGGGCAGAGAAAGCGTGGGCAAAGTAAGTGTGGGCAGTGGAACATTAGGCAGGGAGAGTGTCGGCAAGGAAGAAGTGTTCAATGCCGAAGTATTCAACGACGACACAGCCGGCAATGACAGACCAGAAGTGTTCAACGACGACACGGCCGGGAGAGCGAGACTCGGCAGGCTCGGCAAGCTCGAATTGGCGACCGCTGGCAACGACAACGCGGCGCCGCTGCTAGCGCTTATTGGTGAAGCGACAGACGCCGCACTCACCAAACCCGTTGGGGGCGAACCAACCGCCGGGGCCGGGGCCACAGCGACCACTGCCTCTGCCTGCACAGGCGCGGCGGCATCCGAGTTAGCGGCAACTCGCGCCTCCGCCTCAGCCGGAGTGTCTGGTGCAGCCACAACTTCAGCCTCCACGTCAGCGGGGGCGGGGGCGCCAGCCACAGCTTCAGCCCCCACGTCAGCGGGGGCGGGGGCGCCAGCCACAGCTTCCGCCTGATCCTCGGGTTCAGCGGCAGCCTCCGCCTCCGCTGGCGCCTCGGCTTCAGCGGCCGCTTCTGGCTCCGCCTCAGCCGCCTCAGCCGCAGCCGGAGCCTCTGCTACAGCGGGAGCATCCGCATCAGTTTCCGGCTCGACCGCGTCCTCAGGTGCCGCTCCGTCGTCGAGACGCCGGGCATTAGTGTTGGCGCCGGTCAGGCTGCTCATGAGTCCGTTGGGATCCGGTATGAGGTTCACGAGGTTCTCTGACAAGTTGGCGAGCAGCGGATTAGCCGCAACGACGTTCGATGTCGTGTTCAGCAGGTTGGTCGGGTCCAGGGCTGCAGTCAGAGATGCGGGTGTCAAGGATGTGAGAGAGGGAGGAGTCAGGGATGCAGAGTTGAGGGCTGCGTTCGGCAGTAAGTTAGCGAGAGCGTTCGGGTCCAATAGAGAGCTCAGGCCACCAGCCGTGACCGGCTCGGCTTCCAGACCGTTCAGTGTCTTGTACGAGCCGCCCAGGATGTTGGTCACGTCCGGAATGGCCACACCCGTGGTCGTGGTATTGACCGACGTTGTGTTCTTCGAATCCGTGTACTTCTCGTCAGCAGTCACGACGCTGCCAACGGTACTGGTCGCGTTCGCCATACTACTGGCTGCCGAGGGCCCGCCTACCGCCGCGTTGCCCGTGGCTACGTTTCCTGTCGCGGCTGCGTTATTGGACGCGACAGCTGTCAGGTTGGGCAGACCCAAGCTCGTGAAGTCCAAGCCCGGCACAGCCAAACTGGTCAAGTTGAAGCTGGGTAGGTTCAGCGAGGGCAAGGCAGCGCTGGCATTGGTCGAGAGCAGGCTGTTCTGCAGCAGCTGGTTGCTGTTGTGAATGAGCTCGCTCAGCGCATTGGTTGCGTCATCCAAACTTCGTCTCTGGGCGCCGTAGACCGCGCCGTAAGCCGTGTGGTTCTGGTGGGGACGGTAGTGGTGATGATGGTCACCGTCATCAGAGTCGTCAGAGTCAGAGGAGTCGGAGGAATGCGAGTCGTCCGAATTCGAATCTGAGTCGTCATGGTGGTGGTGGTGGTGGTATCCATGGCGGCCAGTGGACACGACAGTCGGTGAAGCGACGCCGGACATCTGGCGAACGGAGGGGTCGAGCTGTGCAGACGCCGGGTCAGACTCGTGAATGGCCGTCTGGCCCAAGAAGCCGGGCAGGTTGGCAAGCTCTTCGGGCGTCATGACCATGGGAACTTGTTCGACTGCCTGTAGGCTGTGGCTAGTGCCGTATTCCGGGTCTGGATTGGCATTGGCGGACATGTCGGCGGCCGCGTTCCCATCTCCGGCCGCAGGGTCGAGGCCGAGACCGGGTGTGCCCATAGTGTTGGAGATGTTGCCGAGTTCGAGACCGACGTTGTTGCCAACAGAGGGCATAAAAGTGCCAAGGCCGGCGCCCAAGTTACCGAGTTGGGAACCCAATCCCGCATTTAGGTTGCCCAACAATGCGTTGGTGCCGAAGCCGATCATGCCCGTACCTTGATTGATGCCGGTGCCCAGACCGGAGAGCCCTAATGCCAGACCTCGTGTAAAGTTGGCGATTCCGCTCGAGAAGTCGTTCAACCCGTTGTACTGATTCTGCAAACTCGTAATCAGACTGTCAGGGTACAATGCCCCCGCATTAGGGACAGCCGCACTCGCCTTCGCACCCTCTTCCTCAATCAGACTTCGCGTGTATGCTGAAACACTCGTGGGCAAGGCCGCAGCAGGTATAGCCCCTCCAGTCGTTACCCCACTGGGTGTAGCCCCCGTAGACAAAGTTCCCAGGGGCGTGGCTAGCAACGACAACAGGTCGTACGATGGCGCAGCCGGCGAACCACTGAGGGGGGTCGAGCCCGAGCCTGTAGCGGCTGAACCCGAGCCAGTAAGCGATCCAAGAAGCCCGGTGAGGCCGACGTTGCCAGTGCCTGTGTTGGCCGTGGTTCCAATACCACTAGCAGCGCTACTCCCAGTATCGGTACTTGTCGGATTCAGCAAACCGAAGGCACTCTGGTTGATAATGGGGCTGATTAGACTTTCAGTCATGTTAACCAGCGAGCTACCACCACTCGTGGGCAGCAGGGTCGACAGGCCGGAGAGGTCAGGGAGGGCCAGTGTGTTGTTACCCAATCCGTCGCCGAGCCCGCTGAGGCCGCTTTGGAGGTTTGTGCCGATCGAGGAGGTCAGACCCGTTAGGCCCGAACCCAGGTTGTCCAAGTTGGAACCCAGGCCCTGGTTGATGCCGCCGATCAAGCTGGAAATGCCGTTGTTCAACAAAGACGTGCCTTGCAGCGCACCTGTGTTAATGCCCGTCAAGCCGTACGCCAGGCCCGAAGTGAGGCCCGTGAGCCCGTCTGCCAGCGAAGCGAGGCCGTTGAGCTGGTTCGTCAACGCGTTCTGCGAGGACTGCAATATATTCTCGCTCCCCGACGTCAACTGGTTCCCCAGGTTAGCCGACCCGTTGTTAATAATGTCTTCCGCACCCAGCAACACTCGACTGGACTCCACAGGGTTCGATCCCGCAACCGTCGCATTTGGACTCATCACCTGCATTGATGTGGGAGCCACACCCAAGACGGCGCCAATCGCCGTGACGTTTCCGAGGACTGGGAGGGCGTTGTCCAGGTTGTCTTTGAGCAGCTGCGATTGGATTGAAGGCACGTCTACCTTCTCCATGCCCGGAAGTTCGTTGAGCTTCAGGTTGGCCAGGACCTGGCCGAGGTCGCCGGCATCAATGATTTTCTTCAGCTCGGAATTCGTGTACCCTTCCAGACCGGGTAGTTGGTTCAACTGCAAACTGTTGAAGAACGTCTTCCAGTCATTGTGCTCCAGAAACTCCTCCAGGTCATCGTCCTCCACATCCGGCAACGCAGGCAGCTTGGAGACGTCGATCTTATCCAAGTTGAACATCTTCCCCAACTCCGTCTCGCCCAAGTTGTTGATCCACTCCGCCATGTTGAGCCCATTCAGAGAATTGACCTTCCCTCCAGACTCGCCCACGACCTCCTTGAGCCTGTAAGCCGCCGTTTGGCTGCCAGCCATTTGGTTACCGCTCGTCTGGTTACCTACCCCCCCGGCACCTTCCGGTAGCAGCGAGGCACTACCGATAGTGCCATTGCCAACAGCGCTCGTCCGATTGGCACCCATGAGGTTGTCGAACGCGGCATTGTTCACTTCCGCTCCTGTATTGTTGGTCGTTGGTATAAGTCCGTTTACAGTGGGGATTCCTTGCATGCCACTCATCGGGGAATTCAGGGCATCGCCACCCACGCTCTGGAACTGTAGTCCTGTACCCTGCAGTCCTGCACCCTGCAATCCTGTACCCGAACCTTGGCCTAGGACCGAGGTCAACAGGTTTGCCGGTAGGAAGCCGCCTAACAGGCCGCCTTGCGTCCCCGGCTGGCTCGCACCGCCACCGAAAGCCCCCATGAAGGGCGAGGCGAGCGTGTCCAGCGAGGTGATGAGAGGCTGACTCAAAGCACCGAAGTTCGCCATCAGATCATTCGCGTTCAGTGACGGCAACAACTGCTGCACCTCCTTCGAACCCTGTGTGACAGGGATAGCATAATCGGTACCATTCGCGCTCCCAGAGGCGTTCGTCGTCAAGGCCGTCATGTTCGTTCCGTTAACTGACTGGAACAGGTAGCCATCGTAGCCGGCACTGTATGCTCGATTGTTCCCGTCAATGGTCAGCAGCGCCCTCCGCTCCGTCTTCGAGTCTTCCTCATCCTGGGCGTCCTCCGATTTGAACCCGCGTTCTGCTGCTCTTGTCTTGGCCTCATTGAACCACTGTTCCAACAAGTCCCCCACGTCTGTGTCCCGAATCTTCGACGCCATCGAGTCCAAGTTATCCGCCAGCTCCTGCGCCGCCTGGTTTATCTCCGCTTTCCACTCCGCCGTTTCCTCCGGGGTCGCGTCGCCTGAGACCTCAGTACCGAACGCGTTTTTCACGCTCGTCCACGCATCACTGAACCAGTTCGACAGCATTCGACGGTGGGCGCAGTTTGCCACGCACACGCCGTTTGCACAGTTTGTAGGTACACACCCCCGCAGTCGACGACTCGCCGGTGCAGACAAATTAGTCGTCACCTCCGCGGCTTTCTCAGACTTGTCAGAGGCCTCGGCGGCCTTCTCCAGGGTCGCTTCGTGTGCTTGAATCGCACGTTTTAGAGCCTCGTTAAAGTGCTTCACAGCCCGCCGCATGTCGTCGACATCCTCCAGTGATTCGGCCATCTCCGTCGAGCTCTCCTCAACACCCGACGACCCCGAGTCCGAGCTCGCGCTCTCGACCATTTGTAGTACACGCGTAGAGTTGGTCGTGACTGCAGAAGGCACGCCCGAGTTGCCCGCCAGTGCAGACTCATTAGCCGCAGCAGATCCGTTCGCAGTTGCGTTCAGAGCTGCAGCTTCGTTCGTAAGAACGGAGTTGGCTGCGGCCGCCTCAACAGCCGTCGCGCCATTGGGAGCATTTGAGATGCCGCTGGCCGTATTACTGGCCGTGTTGCCGTTCGCCGTATTGCCGCTGGCCACGTTGCTTGCCGTATTGCTGGTCGGAACGACACCAGCGAGAAGGTTGGAGAGTGCGTCAGTAGCGGTCTGGGCCGCATTCTGGGCAACGTTGCCGAGAGTGTTGCCGCTGTTGTTGGCGGTGTTACCAGTAAGCGCGTTGAGTACATTTTGACTGGTGGCGAGAGCATTGTTAAGTGTCTCGGTGGCGTTGGTGTTAGCCGTTCCGAGTGAGTTAGTGAGCGCATTGGAGGCAGTGGAGGCGGAGATTGAATTGACTGGTCGGCCTGTGTTGGCGATGCTCATCAAGACCGAGACGAGTTGTGCAGGGGTGTCTGCGTTGATACCCATTTGCCCAAGTCCTGCCTTGACAGCGGCCGTTAGATTCCCGGCCGAGTCGACCACGGGTGCCTGCCCGTTCAGGGCCTGTGACAGATCCGGGTACTGAAGGGCTTGGGTGGACAATCCGGTCGTCTTGAGGGCGGCCTGCCCGTCTGGGTTCAAGTAGCCGTTGGTGATATACGCCGACGCTAAACCAGCCAGCGTGGCATTCCCTGCCTCTGCACCGGCTGTTGGGAGCGAGGTGGTCGTTCCATTTGAGATTGAGGTCAGACCGGTCGGGGCCAACGCGTCCTGGAGTGCCTTGGAAGAGTCCAGCGACGACTGCAGCAAGTTGTTCGGGTCCAGTTGCTGGGTCAATGTGCTTGTCAAAGACTGTAACGACGGCGTCAACGTGCCCAGATTCAAGCCCCCCGTAAGTGTATTTGTCAGTGAATTCAAGTCCAATAAGTTGCTCGTCGTGTTCGGTAACAATGAATTCAAATCCAGCTGACCAGAGGTAAGTCCCGAGTTCAGGCTCGAGGTAAGCGGGTTGGATGCCAGACTAGATGTCAGGCTGGCGGTAAGTGGGTTAGATGCCAAGCTAGAAGTTAAGCTTTTGGTCAGGTCCGCAATTGACTGGTTGAGCGCGGTCAAAGGGTCATTGCCAGTAGCCGTCTGTTGCAAACGGCGACTTAGAACCCCTGTACCCAGGGCGCCAGCCCCAGCGGTGTTTAGTCCAGCTGCTGTCCCCGCAGTAGCGGGCGTTAGTTGGGAAGTAGTTGGCGTAAGTTGCGCAAGTGCGTTCACACCCTGGGCAATGGACTGGAAGGTGCTGCCGAAATTGTTAAGGGCATTCAAACCGGTAAGCAATGGCGAGTCCGTGAGTTCCGCGGCAGCGCCACTTATGCTAGGGTCCGTTAGCACATTGGCGGCCGCGCTGGCTAGTTGTTTGGTGGTGTCCAGAAGACCGGTAGTGTCCAGAAGACCAGTGGTGTTAAGAAGGTTCGTTGTGTTCAACGGGGTCGCCGTATTCAGAAGATTCGCCGTACTGGCGTTGTTCAGAACGCCGTTGGTGAGAGATGGTATCAGGTTGGAAAGCGAGCTGGTGTTGAGCAATGACGTGGGGTCCTGAAGCGCAGTCTGCGAAAGTCCGGTGGTCGCGGTAAGGTTGGTCAGTGGCAGACTGCCGACCGACTGAGTAAGCTTGTTCAGGGCCTCTGTGCCACCTAGCACCTGAGAGAGGGCGGGCAACGCGGCGGTGTCCTGGCCGTTCCCGAGCGCACTTTGCAACAGACCATTCAGATCAACCGGGCTGATTGACGGCAGCGCCGTCTGATTCAGGGCCGTCCCCAGTACATTCGTGGCTGCTCCTCCTATGGCTGAAATTGGGTCCAGGGCACTGGCGGAACTGGTGAGCGCCCCCGGACTTGTGAGCCCGCCAGCACCCACACCACCCGACTGTACAGAACTATTAACTAAGCCAAGGTTACTGAGCAGGTTGTTCGTAGTGCCGAGGAGATCGTTGCTAAGAAGCCCGTTCGTACCCGTAGAACCAGTAGAGCCTGCGCTTGCCGAATTCGCAGGCGGGCTGATGTTCAAGCTCGAAAGCAATGACGAAACATTGTCGTCCCCGGCGGCAGCGGAAACAGCAGCAACACACCACAGACCGCGCATACTAAACAAAGTCACGAAAAGTATAGTAACAAAAGAACACAAAGATAATGAACGATACAAGTAATTAGTTCCCCAACCCGGCCACGACCGCTTGTCTACTACAGCAACTGGATGTCTGCGACTGCTGGTGGCTGTAGACCATGGCGGCGGCGACGACAGGTAGAGAAGGTGGAGCAAGGTTGCAGGGAAAAAATTAGTTGCCGCCCTTGACGTGCTTCTCGATGAAGGAAAGGGCTTGAGACTTGGGGGCCTGTGTGAGGGCAACGCAGGAGGCGCTGCGGATGTTGCGGTACTCACCGTCGCGGTCAAGTTTGTAGAGACCGGCCCACTTGCCGAGTTCCTTGGCCTCAGGCACCTCGATCACAGGGACCTTCTTCTGCTCCGCCCAGAGACGGACTGTCTGGCCGATGGCGGGTTCCTCCACGTCTTGGGCAAGGAAGACGTAGTAGGCGACTTCCGCTTCGATGGCCTTGATGACCTGAGAGCAGCCAATCTTGATGCCGCCCACAGCGATGGCAGCGTGCAGCACCTTCTCAATAGCCTCCTCAATGCTGTTGACGGGCTCGTCAACAGGGCCAGCGGCGGCGGCGGCGGCAGCGGGGTCCTGCTCGGCAGGGTTCTGCGTAGCCGCGATAGTAGGCTCGTTCTCGAAGTTCTCCATTTAGCAAATATTCGTCACGGAAGCCGCTCCTAAATGCTAAAAAAAGGCGCCCAAAAAAGTCTGTACATTTGTAACGGGCGGTGCACACACGTGCGGCGATTGTGCGCGACAAGAGCAACACGCAGCCGGAAACTAGTATGGGGGTTAGGATGTGTCCTTTGCCAATTGCAAGTCCAAAAAACGCTTGTTTTCGGCCGTGCGCGGGCTTGCAGAGCTCGGACATCCAGGAGAGTTCGGGCATCCACGGGGAAATTAATTCCAGGCCGGCGGGGTTTTTTTTTGTTGGAGCCGGGCTGATGTCGGTTGGTTTTAAAGGCTCAGATGCGAGCCAGCTCTACAGGTTCAAGGACATCCAGACAGTCCCGGGTGCCATGGACTTGGTGGACATTGTGTTGTCGGCTACGCAGCGAAGAACACCGACGGTTGTGCACCCGCAGTATGATATAAGTCGTATCCGGAGTTTTTACATGCGCAAAGTGAAGCATTGTCAGCAGGAGTATCACGACAAGTTCTCGGCGATTCTGTCTCAGTTTCCGAAGATAGATGACATTCATCCGTTCTACGCAGACTTGTGTAACGTGTTGTATGACAAGGACCACTACAAGATAGCGCTTGGTCAAGTAAATGCGGTGCGTAATTCGGTAGACCAGATGGCGAAAGAGTATGTTCGTTTATTGAAGTACGCAGATTCATCTTACAAGTGTAAGATGCTGAAGAGAGCGGCATTGGGTCGTATGTGTACGATCGTGAAGAAGCTCAAGAACTCGTTGGCATACTTGGAGGAGGTGCGTAGGCATTTAGGACGGTTACCAGGTATCAATCCCTTCAGTCGAAGTGTGTTGTTGGCAGGTTTCCCTAACGTGGGTAAGTCTACGTTTATGAACGTGTTGTCAAATGCGAATGTGGAGACTGCGAACTGGTCTTTTACGACGCAGTCGTTGTACGTAGGTCACTTTGACTATAAGTACCAACCGTGGCAGGTGATTGATACTCCAGGTGTGTTGGACAGACCTTTGTCTTCGCGCAACACGATTGAGTTGTGTGCCATCACGGCCATGGCGCACTTGTCATGTGCGGTTTTGTTTCTGGTCGACATTAGCGAGCACTGTGGTCACACCGTCGCAGACCAAGTGAAGTTGTTCCACTCGTTGCGGCCTTTGTTGCAACACAAGCCAGTAGTGGTTGTATTGAACAAGATTGATTTGCGCGGTGTCGATTCGCTAACGGCGCAGGAGCAGGAGATGATTAAGAGCATGGGTGAAGGGTTCGATTTAATTCATTTCGTAGCGTGTTCCACGTTGGAGAAGCTGAATTTGGATGAAGCAAAAAACAAGGCCTGTGAGATGCTGCTCTCACTGAAGGTCCAGAAGCGACTCATGGCCGGTAAGACTGCTTACAACACGTTGGATGAGTTGTACGTGACCAATGTGACGCCGTTGGCCGAGCGCCCACCCATAGGCGCCCCGCCCACCCGAGGGGACTTGGCTGCCCGTGACGAGATGGGAGACGAGAAGTTGTTAGAGAAGGACTTGATGGAGGTGGAAGGTGGAGCGGGTGTATATAATGCGGACACCCGGAAGCATTGGCAGTTGGAGGACGAGAGTTGGAAGTATGACGAAGTGCCGGAGATCCTTAACGGCAAGAATGTAGCGGACTTTGTGGACCCCGAAATCGACGCAAAGCTACGAGCTCTGGAAGAGGAAGAGGCCGAACTGGAGAGGACATGGGACAAGGACGTTCAGGCACCTACCCAAGACTGGTACGATGCACAGGCAGCCTTACGAGAAATTACCATTGAACGTGAGACAAGAAGACTTATGTCACGAATTAAAAACTCGAACAACCAGCGAACACAAGCGCGACAATATATGGATACCGAGGCCTTCAAACAACGCCTGGCACCCATGGGCATAGACCCCGAAGAGATTCTGGAACGACTGACCAAATATGAAAAGGAAACGACCACCATCCGTGCTCGGAGACAACTTTTCAAACCCGACAGAAAGACCGCAGTTTACGGAACCAATGTCGAGAGAAAAGTCGAACTCGAAAAGGATATACACCGCGTTAACAAAAGATATACCAAACCCAAGAAGTCTCAACCCAAAGACCAAATCAACGAAGCCGACCGATTCATCGGAGCCAAACGACCCAAACATCTTTTCTCGGGCAAACGAACCATCGGCAAAACAGACCGACGGTAAATACTTTTTCCATTTATACTTTACGTACATTTGTGCACCAGCTTTTCGGGGACCGGGACCTTTTTTTTGGCGGCCCTGCTCGTGATGTTCGATGGCGAGGGACCGATGGGATTCGTCTGACGAAGAGCACACGGGACGGGAGCGTGCTGGGCAGCAGCGCGCTGGGCAGCAGCGTAGCGGACGACTGGAACAAGAGCGAAGTGCGGCAAGGCAGACGGCCAAGCGGGTCCGGTTACAATGGTCCGGACCGCTTGGGTCGGCTTCCCGAGCGGGTTTGTCCGGTTCCCGAACAAGTGGCTCGGACGAGGAGGAGAGGGAGATAAAAAGGGTGGCGGAGGAGCACGGGCGGTTTCTGCGGAATTTACGTTGGTTGTCGGCTAGGTATGGTTCTCGGCATGTTCACGACCATTATGAGCTATTGGAAAAGATTGCAAGTGGAACGTTTGGCTCAGTATACCGAGCGCGCAGTCGAGAGACGGGTTTGGTCGTGGCGATAAAATCGTTTACAAGACATCCTTCGTTGGAAGCGGAAGGTATGTTGTTATCGTCACTGCGGGAGATTACCACGCTGATGGAGATAGAGCACCCCTCGCTAGTGAATGCGTACGAGGTTTGTATCGACCGTGAACGCTTCGGAGCTACGTATGTCGTGATGGAATACGCCGAACACGAACTTGGTTTCATCCTAAAATCAAGTCGAGACCTTACGTTCTCTGCCAGCGAGCGTAAGTGCTTGTTGCTGCAGATATTCAGCGCCCTGGAATACCTGCACCAAAGAGAAATCATACATCGAGACTTGAAGCCCGGCAACCTGCTGTACACTAACCACGGCTGTGTCAAAATCTGCGACTTCGGATGCAGCAAAACCCAAGTGAATCAAGCTTACACTGCCGGGAATCGAACCACCACCGAAGGCCAGAAGACAGTTGGCAGGGGCCAGGTGGCGAGTGGGGTTCAAGGGGCCACTGGGGGAGCGAGGGGGGGGCAGGGGGATGACTTGTCTCCTTTTCCGGGTCAAAGTCATCTCTCTGTTCGAAGCGGCGGAGATGACACATACCATGTGGGCACGTTGTGGTATGAGGCCCCGGAAAGCCTGATGGAGCTACAGATGACGACTGCCAGCGACATGTGGAGTGCCGGCTGTATAGTTATGGAGATCCTGACCGGATGTCGCCCTATCTTCTCCGGTTGTAGTTCGCGTTTAGAGGTACTCAACAGCGTTTTCGAATTCTTTGGTGTCCCCTATGACTGGCATGAAATGAACGCGAACATGAAGAATGTTGAGGTCCAAAATTTAATCAAGGCCCGACAAACGATTGAGCTCAAGTTCATCAAGGGGTTTCGGGACGGCGGAAATGACGGCGGCGATGGCCATGGTGCTTACCGTAGACTGATTAGCAGCAAGCTGTTCGACAAGTGCTGCACATCCGGGGTTGAGCGGAGTTGGCTCACTGCGCAGTGCCAGGATTTGGTTCTCAGACTTCTCACAGTTAACCCGAACAGCCGTCTGACGGCCACGGAGGCATTGCAACACCCCTATTTCACTGAGAAGCCTTTACCACAAAAAAATCATTACATGCCGAAAATTAAGGAGACGAATCTTAGCGGTATGCACTCACAGCACACACTTGCCGCACAACGGCAGCCCACCACACCTGCAACCTTTCAGCGGCCGAAAGGGAACGATACGCGGAGCGATCTGACGAGCGCGCGGTAGATCCCCAAAGATACTTGGCGCAGCTCGCTAGTAAACCCTGACGAGCTGCGCCAAGTATCTTTGAAAGTTATAATTCGATTCCGAGTTCGATGACCTTGTTATCGAGCATTCCCAAGAGCTTTTTAATGGAGATAGATATATGTAGCGTGTTTCGAATTTGGTTTAGAACCTCATTGGACTTGGATTCGCGTAAATTGTTGGTGAGTAGAGTGAAGCAGTCGGCCATACAGGTGGCCTGATGCTCTAATCGGTCAGTCCATTCTTTCCTAAATGCGATCAAGTCCTGACGGTTCTCTTCTGCAGTTAGCTCATCTACATATTCGATAGCCATAAGTATATCCGTCATAAAATCATTATCTTCTATGTTAGAATCCTCCTTAAGAAACTGACGGTCATACTTCAACTGACACAATAAATCTGCTCTACTCACAGGGTTCTTCAAAAGTTCATAACCAGATCGGAGCATACTACTATGATGGGTTGCCAATCCACTTTCCTGACTACTACCACCGGCACCAATAACTCTATCCGGATGTAATTCAATCATTCGTGAACGATATTCTTTCGTAATTTCATTCAGAGGAACATCATAAGATAAACTCTGATTCTCCAAACTAAAAGGGAACAGTTAAGCTGAAGCGATAAAGCTGGAACCGGGAAAGGCCGAACCGCTAGGGTAGGAACAACCAGGAGCTGGTCTGTCTCAGGAGGAAGTCTGTCTCAGGAGGAAGTATGTCTCAGGAGGAAGTCTGTCTCAGGAGGAAGTCTGTCTCAAGAGGAAGTATGTCTCAAGAGGAAGTATGTCTCAAGAGGAAGTCTGTCAGGAGGGAGAGTCTTCCAGAAGGATGGAGGAGTGGGGATTACCATTCGAAAGCAGTCCATGGGTTTTTGAGGTATCTGGCAGACAGCTGGGGTGGTGCGAAGGATTTACAGCTTTGGCAGAGCGTTTCATATGACTTGAGCCAAGCCTGACATTTTCCGCATTGATAATCAGTGGCAGACCGATTGCTAGGGACCGCACCGGTCGATGCGAAAGCCCTGTTGGACAACCACGCTGGCTGCTTTCTGTCACGATGCAAAGATCGACCCAAACACCCCGGGTCAGAGAAACTGGGTCCGTTTATGTTGCCGTTGCCGCGAGTGACCAAGTTGGCCGCGAATCTGTAAGTCTTGGGAGCTTTTCCCACGAAAGGAACAACGACCATCAGTCAGTTAAAACTTTATAAGAAAAATCGGCGGGCCACTAAATAATCGGCACTGTATGGGGTGGATTCGAACGGTGTGCATGGGGGGTGGATTCGAACGGTGGGCATGGGGATTCGAACAGTGGCCTGAAGTAAGTGGAAAACCACCTGGATGTCTGTACTGGGATGGGATTAATTGACGCTGCATGGCGTGGCCTGGCATCTTGTGTGGGTTCGGTTGATCAAGAGTACCATACTGCTGGGTGATGGTGAGTGCTCGACAACGAGCGCTCGACAACGAGCGCCCGACATTGGCGTTATATATGGCGGGTAATTTTTAATTTTTGTGTGCTGAAAAACTGAAAATGGATGGTTCTGGTAAAGCTGGCAAGTATGGTGGCAAAGTCGGAGGCAAGGTTGGCGGGAAGTTGGGTGGAAAGGGCAAGGCGAGCTCGGGTAAGTCGAAGAAGGCCCCTACGACCCGAGCTGCCCGGGCTGGTCTGCAGTTTCCGGTGGGTCGTATCCACAGGATGCTGAAGCTGCGCGTGCCCGCTGACGGTCGTGTAGGGTCTACTGCGGCCGTGTACGCCGCGGCCATTTTGGAGTATCTGACAGCCGAGGTGCTCGAGCTGGCGGGCAATGCTAGCAAGGATCTCAAGCAGAAACGTATCACACCCAGGCATTTGCAACTCGCCATTCGAGGAGACGAAGAGCTCGACCGACTGATTAAAGCTACCATTGCCGGAGGCGGCGTCATTCCGAAGGTGCAAAAGATTTCGGAACAAGTCGAGGAGGGGCTCGAGTCGCCGCTGAACACATACATGCCTGCACCGACCACCAACGACATCACCATTCCACCTGCCACTGTTGCACAGCCGCAACAACCCGGCAACAGTCTTATCTAACTCCGACTGAACCATAACACGGACTGCCGCACAATACGGACTGCCATCGAGCCTGGACATAAATAAATTGCTGAACATTATAATTGATTGCTGGATATAATAGATTGCTGTCACAAAAGCAGGTTCTTCAACATGCCTTCCTTTTTACTTCGGGACATAATCGATTATACAAATTGAGTCTCCACCCGATCCAGCACGCGCGCGCGCCCGCACACGCGCGTGCACACACATGTGCGCACGCTTTTTAAATCAGAATTGTCTTACATTCTAGAGCAATGCCGTTACCTTAAAATGTAAGTGCCGCATCTAAGCTCCCTTCCACAGGCAGTTCCGTTTGCGAGGCAGCCGCCATTGGGACTTGTTGGTCATGGGTGATCATTGGATGGGCATTCCGCACTCTTTCTCTCCCGTGAGGCGGCCCTCGTCGCGCCGTCTTCTTGGATAAGCCTGCCTTCTTCTGCTGGAAGAACTGAAGAATTACCGAAGGGCGCGCCAGCAACTGGTGCCGCGTTAACCTGGCTCCCGGTTGCTGCACGGTCATCCCGTCTTCGAATTTCTGCATGAAAGCTCGGCCGTCGCTCACGTTCCAGCTACCGTCAGCGTCTTCATCGATCTATGGAGAAGCAAATCGTATTCGACTGAACAATAATGCACATTATCCAAGTGACCATTGTTTGCGAGGTAAGAATGCTGGCGGGGGGTGGAACGCTGGAGGGGTAGACTGCCGCTCGGGTAGAATGCCGATACAGTCGAATATCGGTGAGTAGAACGCCGGTGGGGTAGAATGCTCGCGGAGAAAGGATTACAGGTGACGGGGATGGAAGTTATCTTACCCGCAATCCGACTGGCTGTAAGGCGCTGCATAAAACTGACTTGGTAGAGAACGTTCGAAATCCTCCGGAATTCAGAATCTACAAAATCCAGAATATTCACCGGGAAGAACTGGGGGCAAAGCCGGGGAGAAAGAAACTCACCGGCAACCGGAGGGAGGCTAGGGACTGTTAGGAGGAGCGGGTCGACTTAAGAGACGGGTCGACTTAAGAGACGGGTCGACTTAAGAGACGGGTCGACTTAAGAGACGGGTCGACTTAAGAGACGGGTTGGGAGGAGAAGAAGAGCCCTTACGAGATCGCCTGTGGCGGCTTTCGCAACGAGTACGTCGGTATCTTTGAATGAGATTACGACGTCGTTATTTTCGCATTTTGTAACTCGGCTAGTGTTTAGAGCCACTTCAGCCGGCGTCAGCTTATTCGAGGGCTGGACGAATTGGGTGGGCATAGCTATATATTGTGCAGGAACTCCGGTCGCCTTTTTTGGAGGGTCCTTTCGCACGGGAGGATCCCGCTCCACTCTACGAACTGGCCCGTTGTCCCGTCGCCGTGCCTCCCCTCGGGGAACGTTCCGTCGTTTCGGGGGAGCTTGGTCATGACTTGTAGCTGCTTTTTTGGCGCTGGCTGCACCTATCAATTGATCCAGGGAAAAGTCCAACCTGCTTGAGTCCATTTGGAAAAATTAGAATTTAGTATTCCTCTGCTGAGCAACAGCTTCCTGCTCAATTGCAACGTAGTATAAGCTTCCTCTAAGTATTAGTCGGTACGATAATGATGATGGGTAGATAGGCAGGCGAGGTGCAGGTGAACCAAAAAGGGTACATTATTATGAGTGAACTAACAAAAAGAAATACGCCAGTATAAATCTGCCCGACCGACCTCAATAGACAGCAGCTGTCCGCCGCCAAACAGTTGACAACGGCTCCCAGCGGACTAATATAGGATCAGAAAGGAAAGGCTTGGAGCGAATGTGTTGAAGCAAGGTGTTGAAGCAAGGTGTTGAAGCCACAGTGGTTGGTTGTAATGGAAAAAATTCCTTAGTTCTCCATGGACTTCTTCACGGGCTGGTAGTACTTGAGGGCCAACTCGTTCTTGTTGGTGCTGACGACGCGGATGAAATCACGGATCTGGTTGCGGCAAAGATACTTCTTAGTCAAGAACTACAAAATAAAGTAGTAAAGACATGAACCCAATGTCGCTCCATCCTAGATTCCTCCAGCATGATTGAGACCATAGGGCACACACCACACCCCAGGCTCGTAGGGGCAGTAACCGCGCGGTAAAGACCGTACATCTCACCCATATATATAGTATTGTGACGGCGACACTCAGCTCAGCTCAGCTGCCGGGGTGCAGTTGGTACGACTTAGACTGTGTTCAAGTGCTTACCTTGACATATCTCTTGTTGAAGGGGAGCTTGGCTTCCAAGGCAATCTTGTTTCCCTGGGCAGAGATGGTGCAGTATCTGGTGGTCACGCCAGTCTGATAGTTGGTCTTTTGGAAGTTTCCGGTCTTGCCATCAATTTTAACTCTGTCGTGCAAGAACTGACGCAGGTCTTCAGCAGACATGAGCCCATCAGCTACCGGGGCTTCGCAGTCAACCAAATATGTGACATAGGTGGGGGTTTTGACAACCTTCTTAGCCACGACCATTGCTTCAAGAAAAAATGTCCCGGCCCGACACAAAAAAGCCTCTTGTGCATCGTTTTGTCTTTTATTTTTTGGCTCCTGGCATGTGTGCGCCAGCAGCACACGTGTGTGCGCTTGATGAATTTGCTGCGCAGCGCCGTGATTTGGGCCGCTTTCGCGCTTTCCGTGCATGCGCCGCCTCCCCAATGCGCCCGGATCCGACATGACACCCAGCCCGCTATCCCGGGCCATCGATTTCGATGGCTATGGAATCGCGCCCCCGAACCGCCACTGGATCTAGGGACTGAAACAATGCGTGACATAATGGAGTCTCACGCACAGCAATGTCGGGAGGGACCTTACTGGAAATCTCTGCTATCCAAATACAATGTTCCTCATTATGTTTTCGGACCAGTGAACCAAATGTATATTGATGTATTTGAGCCGACACTTTACAGCAGGCTGCTTGTGAAACTTCATACCCCATTATACGCCGCTGGCCTGTGTGCCACCTTCGTCCTCTCCGTTGGATTCACGATATGGCTGCAGCAGCTATTGGAAATTGAGGCCAAGAATCAAATGGTGCAGACACCGGACTCGCTCCATCGTGTCGACACGGGCAGCACTTCAGCAGAATAATCGCACTGCATCGCCGGCCACCGTTATTCATCAGTGACTGTTATTCGATCCGCTTGGAGTTCGGTGAGCTCGAGAATTGACATTCCAAACTTTTTCGTGACCATATCCTGAAATAAGAATAAGATTAAGATCAGATAAAGTGCTTACTCCGAGGGCCTGCGTCTGGCTTTTCACATCCCCTGGAGCCTGTTCCAGTTCGTTAGCGAATTCGATGCTTTCGAGTGCTGCGGCAATCATGAAGTTCCCCTTGGTGATATCCGCCTTGACGAAGTCGTCTGGCGTCTGCTGCAGTTGCAGGGTGAGATTGAGCATCCAGTGGTATCCTAGACGGCTCTGGAAGAGATCGTCTGCGAAGGGGCAGATGAGATAGTACTGTTTCATGTGTTCAAATGCCCCGAGATTCGCCCCAAGGAGGAAGGTGATGTATGCTAGCTGCAGTTCCCCTAGCCAGAGGGTCTGTGACGGAGACAGCTGACAGGTATCAGCAACCATTTCCCAGGTGTGAATGTCCACTGGATGCATTTTAGCTTCCTTGGCGCGACTATAGCACCAGTCGATCCAGGTCGCAACTCGGCCGGACGAGTTGAGCGCCGACTGAGACACCAGCCGGGGGTCACTGGCTTGTTTGACATCCTTCGGGGGCACGTTCGTCCAATCAAGCTCGCCTTGGGCCAGTAGGCCCACTAGGCGTTCATCGCAAGACTCTGGAGCGCTACCAGTCTTGGCCCTATTCTCAGAGTAAGGAAACTCGTCTTCTCCGTCAGTATCATCGTTCTCGTCGCTCCCGACGACGGGGTTCTTCACCGGTTGAGATCCCTGACCGTGGGGCTGGTGCTGGTCAGCGGGTCTGGTATCGTATTCTCGGAGTCTTTTGTGCTGCAAAAGTCGCTCTGACTGCACCAGCCGGATAATAGGCGGCACGATTGCATACGTCAGTGCGTGCCAAGTTCGCTCTGTAGGGGATGTGTATATGACGGCCTTCCGCAGCAGGCTCAAGTCGTCATGGCCACTCTGATATCTTGCTACCTCGTCTTCATCGTTGACTCTCAGAAACAACTCTAGCCCACGGTCCCACTTGTACACAACCACTTGGCGCCTTCGGAGCCACAACATCTCACCCTCCTTCAGTCCTTTCTCGGGCCGTTCCCAAGACAAGAAATGGGGACCGTTTAAGATCCCGCTGATGCAGAAACAGTCCACATCATCAGGCTTCCATACAGTAAAATCCAAACCGATTAACACGTCTTCCGGCATCTCCAAGAGCACCACGCCGCCTCCATCCGAGGCCTTGCTGTCCATTCGCCTGGTTCACAATAAGTCTGCTTTTTTTACCCCGAGATGGACCTTTTTCTCGCGCCCACGAGACACATAGCATACACACGACACATAGCTTACAAATGATAGATAGCTTGCACACGATACTTAGCTTGCATGATGCCTAACAGGGTAGACCCGCGGCCCATGCGTGATGCACAGCGTATACCTCCAAGGTGCTGTACCCAAGGTGTTGTGGGTTGGGGATGCGTGGAGATGGAGTCCGGGTAATTTCTGGGGACAAGATTTCGATGGGTGCTCGGCCGCTGCAGTGGGCGCTCTGGGTGGGCGATGCGGTTAGGCCGTTGGAGGATTATGGTGGTCAGCCCGTGATAGTGCCGGTTTCGAAGAGTGAGAATAGTTTGTCGCCGACGATTTTGCAGTCGGTTTCAGAGGCGAAGGTATTGGCTTTCCACGCGACTGTGCGACTGAGCAAATTCAGTCGGCCTGGGGAGAATTTGGACTGGCTAGGAGTAGAGAAACAGTTGGGAGAGGCGGTAGAATGGAGTGTGTATGTTGGTGCCCGAATGTTGGTCGTGAACCCGGTGGAAAAAGTGCCGGAGAGTTGTTACGTACAATTTGCGCGTGTGCTGTTGCGTGTCAGTTGCCGGTCACAGGAATGCGAAATAGTGCTACGCTGTCGTTTCCTGGACGAATGGAATCTGTGGTACGTGATAAAGCAACTTGGCGCCAGTTTATGGACTGCCGATACCAATTCCGTGAACGCACACAGGGGTATCAAACGTGTGTGTGTCTCCCTCGACGCACACTACCCAAACTGCCCAGACCAACTGTTCCAGAACATCGCTGCACGCTGGCTAGGCGAAGACGTCGCCATGCTGCTGTGTACCACCACCGCCTTCAAGGCCAATCAACAGGGCCTCCCCTCTATGGTCAAACGAAACCGGCAACTTGTAGAAACCTTCCTTCGCAGGGACCTCTACGTCGTCCTCGAGATGCCCGCCGCTGGCAACTCTGCCACGACCCCGGCGGCAGACACGGCGGCTGCGACCATAGTCTCGGCGGTAGCGGCGACCACAAACACGGCGGCTCCTGCCACACCGGGGGCTGCCACGGCGGTCGTTGCCACAGATTTCTTGATTCAAGACGTCAGGAAGTACATCGAACAGACGGTTCTCTGGCTGCAGTACACACACCACCAGCTGCCGCCTTTACTCCCGACAGAAATCAGCAGGGGCAGCCACCACGACTACCTCCAGGAACCACTCCAACCGCTTGCCGATAACCTGACGGCGTATACCTACTCAGTTTTCGAAGAAGACCGAATCAAGTACGACCTGTACAGGGCCGCTATAAAAGAACAACTGGTCAACCTGCTGCAGAAGGCACTACTGGACCCCTCCCATTGTCCGGCTGCGCATCAGCAGCACGGCGGTCGTCCTGACCTTGTGGCGACCGGCTGCACGGCGACCGGCTCCCCGGCGACCGGCGCCGCGGCCACGGCGACGGACTCGGGCAGCGGTTCCTCCGCTGAGAGGTTTACTACAGTCCACATTGCGTACCTCGGCGGTGGGCGTGGGCCTCTGATGCAGGAGTGTTTTGACGCGCTCATGTCTCTGGGTTGGCGGCGCGACGAGACTGGGTTCTTCTACTTGGCTCCAGATTCTACCTCTTTTCCGGCCGACGGCCCGTCTCCGACCGGAGGCCTGCCTCCTACCGGAGGCCCGTCTGCGGCATCCCCCGTTCCGGCCAGCAGTACCAATCAAGTGTCCCCCGTCCGGGCAGTGCGTTTCTCCTTTAGTGTGGTAGAGAAGAATCCGTGCGCCGCGCTGGTGTTACGACAACGTGTGTTGGCGGATCCGTGCGAGTGGTGGCGCGATGTGGAGGTGGTGGAGACGGACATGCGTGAGTGGCGGCCGCGGTTGGGGGTGGACTTGGTGGTATCGGAGTTGCTGGGGAGCGTGGGTGATAATGAGCTGAGTCCGGAATGCCTGTGGCCGGTCTACCGCTCTCTGACACCTCAGGGTGCAGTCGTGCCTTTAGAGCACACCTCCTATTTTGCGCCCATTGCCGCCTCTAAGCTCCACCGACAACTCGCCACTGAGTCGTCCGCAACTGGCGCCTTCGACGCCGGCTACGTCGTGGACCTCTACAATTACACAACTTTGGCACAACCCGCACTCCCCGCTTTCCGCTTCTCCTACAAACCCGACGCTGGCGGGCACGGACCAGGTGATGGAGTTAAGGGTGTAGTGGAGACAGAGACAAAGGACCGGGATGTCATAGCGCATTACCGGAGGGTGGACGAGTTCAATCGGTTCGCGAGACTGCGATGGACCATACAATCTCACGGCGAGGTGGTGGAGTGTCACGGATTTGCGGGGTACTTTTCTTCCTTGCTATCGCCCAGCGTGATTTGCTCAATTGCGCCTCATGATGAGAGTAGAGACATGGACAGCTGGTATCCTCTGTACCTGCCTGTGGAGCGGTCTCTAAGGCTCGAAGACGGGGATGAACTCGAGCTGCATATTTGGCGCGTGTGCGATATAAGTCGAGTGTGGTACGAGTGGCTGGTTCAAGTCCAGCGAGGTGCCACAATCTATTACATATCCCGAATACACAACTGGGCAGGTTGTGTTTGGAACTTCCGAAAATAACAACTTTTCTTTTGTCACTCACTGATTTTCACCATAGATGAACCTCCATGATCTCACTATGCTCGTACACCAAGAAATAAAGGCACCCACACTCATGCTTCGGTCCATCATCGAGGAAGTGCTCGTTGACGTCGGACGAAAAGTTGCGAAAGGCCATAACCCCTTATCGATCGCGAACGACTATTCTTCACCGTGCCCCTATGGCTATAAAGATATGGGAGTTGGTATTTGCAAGATAGACCCAACAAGTCCAGGGACAGTCACCAATGGAATGAACTCAAGAGGTACAAATCTGAAGGTCGATGCAAGCTGTAATGAATTGGATCTGACAAATCTAGGAATTGTAGCCAGATTAGACTTAGCGCACACATGTGCGTTGGAGTGGATTAGTCCAAATTCTAACTCAAGATACCCGTGTCCAGAAGGCTGGAACCTCGATAACGATCGGATATGCAAGTCTGTGGTTCCGGCAAAGTATTCATGCGATGAGATCCCGTATAGTCCCTTCCAGGATATTCGAATGGTAAATTCTTTAATTTGTAAAGCGCCCCTAATTCAAGATCTCTACGGAGAAAGCTCGCCTGCTTGCCTTAAAGGTAGTTGCGGGCTGTTCGTCAAGGAGGGGACCGGCTCAATTGCGCTAGACGATCCCACTCCATGGATCCGGGGAGGGATTCGAAGCTATGATCATTACAGTTCTATTGCGGACTCATTTCTGCAACAGATAAATGGTCTTGATTACGACCAGCTCAAACAATTGGTGGAATCTGGCGCAAGTGAACCGTGGTTTAAACAAGCAGGAATTTATGTTAGTTCGGATACATCCGTTTGCCCACAAGGCTATTCTCCTATTGAGCAGGCTTCTCGGGTCTGTATATTTACCGGCGGAGGTACCAATGGAGGTACCAATGGAGATACCGACGGAGATACCGATGGAGAGCAGCTAACGCCTTCCAAGTGTCCTTTAAGCTTCCGTCAACAAGATGACATTATACTCAAGACTCTCCTTTACGGCATTTGCCAAGTTAGGACACCACCCACTCATATACAGCGACCCCGATTGATCTGGCTCGCCCATATTGATCTGATCTTATATCCCCCGAACCACCACATCTTTTCCACCACTCCTTTACCGCCGAGTTCCCTCTTTTTTTAGTTTACCGATTCGCTCACCTCGGAAGCTTCTCAGGGAGACGCCACATTGTCCGAAACCACGTTGGGTCGCCACGACTCCACTGCTGGCGTCCAAATACCTTTTGGTCAGCGACTTCACATGTCGGCAGATATTGGCCCCGTCGAAGACAACACGGGAGAAGTCTATACCGGATTGCCGAATGTCCAAGACCCGAATATCAAATATGACAACCTCATCTTTGAACCCCCTCTTACGTACGACGCCCTGCGTGCCAGTGTCTCTTCCCCCCTCACACCCTTCAGTTCTACTCATGCCTTGCAGGTTCCTCGACTTGAAGACGATCCAACTGCCGCTTCATGATTTTGGGGTATTTCGTTGGCCCACGTTCACCAAGAAAGGAATATACAAGAGTATGGCGCTACTAAGTGAGAAAGAAAGGTTCTACGTAAGTATACTGAGTTGCACTGCTTATGTGCAAGCACGTGAGTGTGTGCGGTAACTATGAGTGTGTGTAGGAAGACGATGAGGCTTGCGAAAAAGACTTCGATGCGCCGTGTCCAGAGAGTACGTTTGTATGTCACTAAAAGACATTTCCTCCTGCCGTAGAGTTCGTGAAAACAGGAGAGAATATGTGTACTACAATGGACCCTCGAATTACTCTTCTCTCTTCTTGCCCTACTAAGGGCTTCCTTCTCAGGGCGCCGAATCAAGACTTATCGATCCTAGAGTAAGACCGAGGAGGGAGTAAGACAGAGGAGGGAGTAATATCTTGTAGAGAGTTGTGTGGAGTTCGATGGCCGTGCAAATCTTGTCAGCAGGACTTCGTTAATAGCATCTGCCCCGAAGGTTACGAGAGGTCTGGTGATGTATGTTTGGCTTCCGACGTTCTTCCTGCCAGCGCACCGACGGCCTTGGAGATCGAAGAATGGGACCCACAGGACCGGCAAGAGTGGTCAAATGCGACTGGGATTCCCTGGCCCTGTTTGGATAGTAAGAGCTGCAAGAGAGATTACAGCAACCCATGTCCGAAAGGGTTTATACCCTTGTCTGTCAAGAAGAGCTTCTCCGAACATGGATCAATCTCACCAACGGGAGGGACGGCGACGGAGGAGACGAATACATTGACCGAGGAGACGAATACATTGACCGAAGATACATCGATCGAAGATACGGCGACCGAGGCAGCTCCTGCTGTGCCTGCAAGTCCTGCCGCCCCGGCCTTTTGTATGTCTGCGCACTACAAGGGGATTTGCTCTTCATACTTTCCTTCTGACGGTTTAGTTATGAAAGAGTTATCTCGGATATACCATGAGATGTTTAACAAGAAATTGGCAACAGAGGATATCACAATATGGGTCGTACCCAAAACTATTGAAGCGAAGTTGAGAATGACAGCTCTTTGTGGTGTGGCCTGGGGTTGTCATAGTGACTGCACTCCGAATTACTTCATCCCTTGTGGGTATGGATGGAGAGAGTCGGGTAAGAAGTGCATTCGACATCATAACGGGGCGACCAACTACTGCCACCTTGACGAATAGTAATATCCCCCCCCCCTCCTCCCGCCACTCCTCCTTATGTACCACTACGATGTTAGCGCTTGGTTCAGCTTAAGTCCACTTGGTTCAGCTTAAGTCCACTCTGTTAAAGCCCTTCAGATTTGAGTGTTCTCGAACGCCGGCATCTGGCCAACTCGTGCGGTGTGCGATGGACCTGCTTGGGAGAATGCGAAAAGGATTATGCACAGCCTTGCCCGAAACGCTGGAACGCAAAACAGACACTAAACGGAAGAACAGTGTGTGAACCAGGTCTCCTTTACTCCGGGACGTTCTACGGAGAACTGGACGTGACCTACATGAACGAAAAGTCCAAACGCGCATTTGCAAAACAGTACAAGGCCCCTTGGCCATGCGTCGCGGCCGGTATTCTAGGATCCATAGGCAATCTTCTTTAAGGGAGGCGGTATATAAAAGTCCTGCAATTCGGCAGAGTGGGACATTCCGGAAAGGCGAATTGTGCACGAAAAACATGCGACAAGAACACGCAGTCTTCCGACTATCGCCCACCCACCCAAAATGCTCTCCACGCTTGTGACATGTGAGCGGCTCAGCACGCGTCGCCCAAGGTGGTGTGTCAGTGGGCGAGGTCGGCTTTCAGTTGTTATGTCTCGCCCGCCGAAGCTTTTTATTAAATACAGAGGTAGCTAGCAGCCGCAGTGATGCAGATTAGCAGAATCGATGTCGAGGACTCCTCGTACGACGCAGGCAGCACCACACCAGCAGCGGACCAGTTCGACACAACACAAGGCACGCTCAAGACAAGACGTCTCGTCCCACACACAGGAGCGCAACGAATTTCTACACCACGGGATTTTTTCACGTTCAGTAAGGTGGTTGCTAACTCCCTTCATGACTCGATAGACAGGCACCCGTCCCAAGAACCAAAAATACACTCGTGGTTGTGTGGTGTAATGGTAAGCACTGGAGACTCTGAATCTCCCGATCTGGGTTCGATTCCCAGCACGACCTAATTTCAAATGCTGATTACGCGTTTGCGTGATAATAATGTGAAGTGATGCGCTGTAAAAGATTAGTTATTGTCTTGTTTTGTTAAGGGCTACTAGTCCGGTCTCAAAAAGTGTGTGTTTGTACACACACGGTATCTATAAGGCTATTTCACATTATGCCCTCCCCCAAAGAGAGAATTAGCACTCGTGAAATTCAAAATGATCAAAGAGTGTCGTTTCTTTTTTGATTTGGGAAGCAGCAATGGAGGAGAATGGATGAGACGTTCATGTTTCTTTCGATTCTGAGTATGTTCCATAATCACAGGTTCTGGTAGGTCGGCCCGTTCTGAAGGAAGTTGTGTT